AGCCTGGAGGAGTACCAGGGCTGATGGCATGCCCCAGCAGGCAGGGCTTCCCGTGGTGCGGCTGGTCCCACGGTGCCGGTGACACCAGCTGTCACAGCTGTGTGGGTTGGTACAGGGAGGTCGGGGTTCCAGCAGGAACCACTGGGCACCAGTGTGGCTGCTCTAGCTGTGCCTTCCTTTCCCATGGCACTGTGTGGCTTTGTCTCAGTTAAGCCACCCCGCTGGCTGCCCAGCCCATGTCTTTCCCTTGGCTGTGGTGCTGACCCCTAAATGCTGAGATGTCCACCTCTGCCTTTGTCCCCAGGTGCTGAGTCCTTCGGGTTGTTCTCCTGCATGATCAACGGGGAGGAGCAGGAGCAGACCCACCGCGCTGTCTTTAGGTGAGCTTGCAGGCGCGAGCGGTGTCCCAGCTGCTCACAGGGGAAAGCCAGTGCTGCCCCCCTGCTGCAGTGGGGCCAGCCCAAGCCCCAGTGTTTCCTGCGTGGGAAGCCCTGGGGATCAAACCACTGCCCATAGTTCATGCCCTGCCCAGGAGCAACATCTGCCCAGGCTGCTGCAGGGGCAAGACCTGTGAGGGCAGCTGAGACCTCTGGGGAGCATCATGACTGGTGCAGTAGGGATACCCTTGCCTTAGATGCCAGGATGCTGCCGCCTTTTGAGCCTAAACCTGATCTGATGCTTTATTTAGTGTCTCAGGTCCCCATGGCTAATTACACCTGCCAGGGCACTGCCTGCCTGGGCCGGTGGTGGGTTCTGTGTTGCCCCCTGCCCCAGCAGCATTTTGGTAAGAAGGCCACTAGTGCTGCAGGCCGGCCAGGTGCTAGTGCCTCTCTTCCCAGGTTTGTGCCTCGCCATGCGGATGAGCTGGAGCTGGAGGTGGATGATCCTTTGCTGGTGGAGGTGCAGGCAGAAGATTATTGGTATGAGGCCTACAACATGCGAACGGGTGACCGGGGCATTTTTCCTGCCTACTATGCTATTGAAGTCACCAAGGACCCAGACCATGTATCAGGTACCAAGCCTCTGTGTGCAGCCTGCTGATGTCCTCTCTTGAATCCAGCTCCTCTCTACTGAGCAGAGCCTGGTGCTGAGCAGGGGGATGGAGGGAGGACCAAGCTGGGCATCTGGCAGGGAACGATGGGCAGCTTCTGGTGCGATGCTGGAAGCTGGTACCTGGCACTGCGGGAAGCCTTCTCCAGGCAGGGAAACATGCAGGGGTGGGAATATGGAGCTGGGAGGTGGATTCCAGCCCACGTTCCTGGTCATCAGAGATGATTCCCACCACATGTTCTCTCTTCCAGCTCTGGCCAAGAGCAGTGACTGGGTAGACCAGTTTCGGGTGAAGTTCCTTGGCTCGGTGCAAGTTCCCTATCATAAGGGCAACGATGTGCTGTGCGCGGCCATGCAGAAGGTAGTGTCCCACCCCACCCCTGGGAGCAGGAGCGCTTGCTCCTCCTGGAAGCAGGGCAGAGCCTCGGTGGGGAAGGAATGAGCCATCATCACTGCTCACGAGTCCCATGGCATTGTCTCTCTGTCTTCTCCAGATTGCCACCACACGCCGCCTCACTGTGCACTTTAACCCACCCTCCAGCTGCGTCCTGGAGATCAGCGTGCGTGGGGTGAAGATTGCAGTGAAAGCTGACGATTCTAAGGAGCACAGCAAGGTAATAGCCCACTCCCCACTCATCTCATCCCTTCCACAACTGCTGCTCTGAGCTGGCTCGTGCTCCCTGCGCTACAGGTCATGTTTGCATATGGAAACTGAGGGTCTCCAGTCCACATCTGGGGGTGTGAGAAACACCATCAGCAGTTTCCCTGCGCTACAGGTCATGTTTGCATATGGAAATTGAGGGTCTCCAGTCCACATCTGGGGGTATGAGAAACACCATCAGCAGTTTTGTAGGCCCACCATCAGGGTTCCCTATGCTTCATAGAATCCAAGCTTTGGGCCATACTGCAGGCTGATGGCCTCACAGCTGCCAAGTGCATTGCTGTGTTGGGATGCTGTGAACTGAGCTGTACCGGTAATCTGTCAGCTGCTCCTAAACCTTTCTGCTGCTATTTTGAGTGGTGTCCTCCAGATCTGCCCTGTAATCTCTTTAGCTGGCTCGGGCAGGTTGCTGATTAGTGTTATACATAAGTAGCCTAGCGAAGCATGGCAAGATGCTGGGCAGAGGCAAGTGAGGGCTTTGCAGCAAGCTGTCAGAAACATCCCCTGCAGCTGAGGGATAGGAGTAGTTCATGGCTCTGAGTGCTGTGTCAGAGAGCTGGGCTGGGGTTTCTACACGTCTTGCCTGTATCTAGAGGATGCCATCAACTTAGTTGCTCTTATTTATACGTTCTCATTTCTGGCTAGGACCTTTTGAATACCCAGGCTTGAATGACTGATGTAGTTCTAAGTTATCCATCCACCTTCTATCTGCTGGTGTTTCTGAGAGCCTCTTAGGTGAGGGAGAAAGGCTGTGTGTGTGTTGGCCAAGCAGCAGCACTGACTCCAGCCTGAGTTCAGCCTAACCCAGGGTCTCCAGGGAAACCCCACAGGAGCTGCTGGAGGTAGAGGCACCTGGGGTGGGAGCCAGCAGGGCTGCCTGGGAGAGCAGCCTGCATGCAGGTGCTGGTAGCAGCCCAGGATCAGGCTCCAATTCATGTCACTGCTCAGTCCAAGTGTGTATTTCCAGGGATCAGAGATGGGCTGCCCTGCAGAGTGGTGGTGAGGAAAGCTTTGACTGTTCATCTCTCTCTCCCCCAGGTAAACAAGTGTAGCCATTTCTTCCAGCTGAAGAACATTTCCTTTTGTGGGTACCATCCAAAGAACAACAAGTGAGTACTGGGGAGATGCAGGGTGGCTCTCAACACCAGCAGCTCATCATGGAGGCCTTGCTGTCTTCCTGCTCCCTCAGGGCAGCACAACTGGGGCTGGGAAAGGAAGGGGAGGCTTCCCAGCGCCTTGGTCCTGAGGGATTCCCTGCACTGCAGCTTCATGCAAAAGCAGCCTCCGGATGGGTATTAAATCCCAGCTCTGGGCATGGGCCATGGCAACTCATGGCCACTGGGACTGGGGAGGGGTGCAGGTCCCAAACCCCTGTGCTCAAGGGTGGGTACACCTTGGTGATGCTGGGTTACCTGTGCCTGCTTGTCTGCTGGTCCAGTCACACCCACTGTCTCTGCCTTCAGATATTTTGGGTTCATCACCAAGCACCCAGCTGACCACAGATTTGCCTGTCATGTCTTCGTCTCCGAGGAGTCCACGAAGCCACTGGCGGAGTCTGTAGGGTGAGTCCTGGCTGGGCAGGGAAGGTTTGCTCCCGAAGGGCAGGAGGAATGAGGCAGCCAGGCTGAATCCTGCCATCTCCCCACATGTGTGGGCCTTGGACCTGGCCCCAGGCTGGCAACTTTTCCCTCAAGTGAGAGGCTGACAGGGCTATGGGCAGCATATTCCTGACAGCACTGGAATGAGTCCCAGTAGCAAGGCTTTGCAGGCATATGGCTGAAAGTCCTGTGCTGTGCAGGTGATCAGAGCACGGATGGAGACCCTGCAGCTCTGACGGCAGCTCTGGGTGCTAACGTAGGAGGGCCCAGGGACTGGGGGGGCTGAAGGGTCAAACTGGCCACAGAGTAAGGAGCAAGGCCGAGAAAGGAAGTGGGGCTCACAGGGAGGACGCTGCTCAGCTTTGCCCGGTGCTGTGTTGCAGGAGGGCTTTTCAGCAATTCTACAAGGAGTATGTGGAGTACACGTGCCCCACGGAGGACATCTACCTGGAGTAGGGTCTGGCACAGGCACCTCCTGCACAGCCAGGGCTGCAGTCTCGCCCCTTCCCCGTGTCGTGCATGGACAAGAGCTGCTTTGAGCCTGGAGGAGGAGCGGGCCCGGGGCAGGGCTCCCCGGGGCATGGAGCACCGCCTCTTTTCGTGACTCCCCTTCCTTGGGCTGGGGGGACGGGAGGGGGGAGGGCTGGACAAATTGTGTTTATTGTTCAAAATACTCTTAGTTTATTCTATTGGAGAAGCACCCACTGGGTGTCCTGTCTGTGAGTGGTGGAGGGGTGGACAGCAGCGTGCTCGGGCCCTTTCCTGCTGCAGGCTGGGGTGACAGCATCTCCTTGTGACCATGGCCCAGCTTCTCGTCACATCCCTCTGGGGTGACTTTTAATGCAGTGGCAGAGTCGGACTCTCGCAGTATGAAGACACACCAGCTACAGCAAACAAGATCCACGTGTTTGGCTCCTGCTGGGGAGATGGGCTTGCCTTGGGCAGGCATCACCTCCCTGCAAGGCCCTGGGGACAAGGCTGCTGGGCAGGGATGACAGAGGGAGCCCCAATTTCTCTTCTGCCCGAGCCAGTGCCAGGATGAGCTGAGACAGCTCACCTCTGCCCCTGTCCCCATCCCTCCCCTCTTCTATCCATGCCCTGAAGAGAGAGAAAGATACTGCCCTCCCCCCCGCCAATACCTCCCTGCAGTAACTACACCTCAGGAGAGGAGCCTTTCTCTGCCCCTTTCCCCCTCTTCCCCAGCTGTAGGTGGCAGAGGCAAGGGCAGGGCTGGACTCCCTCCAAGGGCAGTGGGGCTCAGCTCCTGCCCAGAGCTGGGTGCCTGCCAGAAGAGGGGCAGGGAAGGGCTAAAGCCTGCAGGGAGCCATGCAAAGCACTGGGGAGGTAGAAGAGCTCTCCTGGTCCCTGCAGCCAGCGGTCTCTGTGCTTCAGCTGGATCTGCTGTGATGGCAACAACTATTAAATATGATGGTTCATGGAGCGGGGCTGCTGTGGTGTTTTGTGTCCCACCACAGCGGGTTTGGGCCCTAGTTTCCTGGGCTTGTTCCTTCCCTTGGGACCCCAAGAAGAGCTGGGTTTGGCTCAAGAGCTCCAGTTACAATCGCTGAAGGCATCTGCTTCAGTCCCCACCCAAAGCAGGGCATACCCTCACACAACCTTCCCCCACCCATTCCTACACCCCACACCTACCTGTCTTGCAGCAGCAGAGGGCGGGGGGAGGTGCCTGAGGCTCACATGTGGCCATCATCGTAGTACTCCAGCAGGTCAAGCTCATCACGCTTGCTTTTGCCAGCCTTGCGCAGCTCCGCAGGCCGCACCTGGGCCACCTGGGTCCTGAGGCGAGGTTGCTTGGGTTTGATGCCATAATCTGTGGGGAGAGGATGGGCTCAGCCCTGGGTTGAGGACAACCACCCACGTGGAGGGTTGAGTGCATGGAAAGGGGGGTTTGGAAGGGGATGAGGAGAGCACTGTACCATCCACCAGGCCGAAGTGCTGCTGTGGAAGCTCCAGAGGAGCAGAGAAGTCCTCAGGGATTGAGTAGCTGACACTGTGGAGGAAAACCAGGGGCAGGAGTGAGCCAAGACCCTACAGTGCTCGCCCACCCTGGCACAAGAGCTCTCATGTGCTGCTTATCTTCACCCAGCCTGGCCAGCTCTCGAGGGCCTGGTGCCACAAGTGCCAGCCCATGCCTGGGCCAGGAGCCCTGAGGTACCTCTACAGCTACTGGGGGAGACAGGAGGAGGAGAAGAAGGGAAACACCATTACCTCTGGGGCAAGGGCCGCGGGAGGGCAGCCCCCAGCAGCAGGGCAAGCAGCAGGAGCCAGAACCGCATCTTGCGTTCTGATGCCAGCTTCACTGTGAGGTCACAGAAGAGCCGTTCTGGTGGCCCTGGGACACCAGCTGGGTTGGGCAGGAGGCAGGGCAACCCCCAGGAGCTGCTGCATACCCCTCCCACTATAGGCTTCTGGTCTTGGGCTGCCTGGTCTTGCCCAGTCCCTGAGAGCTGACCACAGCCCTCCCTGCACTGGTGCATGTTCCTCTCATGATGTCCCTCACCACCACCCTTTGCCTCCCCTTCAACCCCTCCAAAAGCAAACCCCTTCATCTCAGTACCTCCCTGTCCTCAGGAGTAAATCCCTTCAAACACTTTCCAGACTTTGCAGTCTTCAGCATCTTGCTCTGCTAAAAGCCCAGACAAAGGCAGCACAGTCCCTTGCTCGTGGCTTTTCCACATTGTCGCATTGCAGGACGTTGCTGAAACGGCAACGCAGACCCCACAGGCTACCAAAGCCCCGTGGTCCCCAACTGTGGTGGCCCATTAGGTGGGTGTGTGGGGCTTCATCCCCTCTTTCAGGTGCTGAGGGAAGGTGGCTGTGACCCCTGCAGCCCAAGTCCCTCAATGACAGTTGTAGGAATGCTCGCGTCCCCCACTTGAGGCCAATGCACCTGGCAGGTTCCAGCTCCCAAGCTCTGCTCAGGGCTGGCAGCTGCCTCGGGGGCAATCCAGTGTCACCAGCTGGCTGCTTGTTTGTCTTGGCCAAAGGAGCCTCCACAGCAGCTCAGTGAGCAGATTGCTGCCTCAACTGTCCCCCAGTTAGCAGAGCAGGCCTCTCCTGGCCCTTCATGAAGTGTAGCACAGCAGTAGTTGCTGAATTAATCTCTTCCTTCCTCCTGCTTTCTGTCCTTGGCCGAGGCCCCAAGCACTGTCTGGCAGCCATTCTGCCAACCCTTTTAGCACGTATTAGGTGCTAGGAAAGCAGCCTGCAAACTGCAGCTCTCTGTATCCCCAGGGGAACCGCAGGAAGCTGGGGACTGAACCAGGCACCCAGAGTTAGAGGGGTTGCAGCCATCAGCTGAGCAACATGCGGGGCACTGCCTGACAGTTCAGAGCAAAAGGCGTCTGTGGGACAGCATCTCCCAGGGTCGGCAACTGCAAAAGCTGGTCTTTCTGATAGAAGTATGTGCTAGCAACCAGATACAAGGGGATCCCATGCAAAGAGGAAAAGGTCCTTCAGCTCAGTTCTTTCTATTAATCATCTTTCCATTTATTTGACATCATTCTGATTATTTGACGGACAAGTCCTCTCCAAGCACATCGGCCAGGCACGGCCAACACAAGCAGGCCGCAGGTCAACCTCAGCGCCATGACATGGGAGACAACGCTCTCCAAAAAGCCACTTCGCTGCCTGGCTTTATTATAGTGCAGCTGTACAAAAGGAGGAAAACCAAGAGCTTAAAAAAAGTGTTCCCATCACCATCACTGCAGTCACAGAATGGTCCAAATAAAGAGGTGGCCAGGGCCTCTCCATGCATGTAACGTCCATCACACAGCTAGATCTGTTAAAAAAATTACAGACACCCCCCCCCTCCCCACCCTGCAGAACAGGAGCTTCTCATTGATGGTTTAACTGAAAATTAGACATTATCAACATCCCTCCCCCAGCCTGCTTGCCCTCCTTAGAAATGTCCAGCCATGATCTTAGCAGAGAACAGTTATCTTCTTTTCATCAGCCCCAGTTATAGAAATATATTTTCTGCCAAGCAGGCAAGTAATCCATCAGTGGCCCTGGGAAAAAAAAAACAACAATAAACAAACAGAGGTATCACACATGTGGAAAGGCAAGAATTTGAAGCAAGGTATATGGAGTATATCCCTCCTTCTAGTCATGGTACCCAACAATCCCAAATCTCCAGTTATACAACTCAAAGGAACCCAAGAATAGAACAGTTACTTTTGCCAAGATGGGAGACAACTTTGGGATGTGGTGCCAGAGATCAGAGCAGGACCAAGCGGGGTGTGAGCCATGGTCAGCGTAGCCATGGCATGAGACACCACTCCCTCAGAGCTGACACCTCCAAGCTTCAGTGGGAAGCGGGGTCTCCGATGTGCAAGGGGAAAACCCGCACGCAATGAGTCAGGAGGATGCTGCTGTGGCACAGGGAAGACAACTCAGCAGTAACAAGCAGGTGCAGACACCAGCAACTGCTGCAGAGTGGAAATGCTTATGTAGCACATGGCTTAATGCAGGCTCCAAAGTCCCTCTGAAATCACTAAGTGAAGGAAGCAGCTCCTGAGCCAACCAGCTTTGTGACCTCCCCAAAGAAAGGGCAATCCCACAATGCCAGGCTGATCTAATGCCACATCACTGCCATGAATCAGTCCACAAAAGGGTTCACATCAGCAGGGAAGAGGAGGTAGAATCCTGGCCCATAATAATGGGATCCTCTGGTGAAGGACTAGAAGACAGACCTGGATCAGCCCTTTGGTTTACGCTTGGTTCCTGCCTGGGTCAATACCTCTCGGCACCTGTTTACCCCTTGTGTCTGCACTGCAGACTGGGGATCGAGGAAGAGAGTTCAGAAACAGGGTTGCAAAGCAGGGCTCTGGTGCAGGCTGAGGTGCAGAAAGGGAGCGCAGGAGAACAGGTCCAGGTGACAGAGACTGAGCTCTGCAGTCTGGGAAGGCATACGAAAATTTACTACTGTGGTTGAGCCAGGAAGCAATTAATCCTTTCTTGTTCCAGCTTAGAACACAAGGATCAACACAGGGTGTGCTGATGCTAACCATTCTAGAGACTTCCCAAGTCCTTCCTCAGGTTGGAAATGAATTGACAGATATTCTGCCCAACTCCTCTGATTTTTCTCCACCCAACAGAAATGGGGATATAGCAGTGGGGCTCACTTACGTGTGACAAAGCCAACTCCAGGCACATAATCTGCCAACAAGCGCAGGAGGAGGAGGATCCTGCCCCTAGGAATGGAAAGAGTATGAATGAGTCCAGTGGGACACCTCCTGCCCCAGCTATTGAATGCACAAACGGCAATGGCAGCTGTTACGCAAGGGCTCAGATTAACCTGGTCACAGGACCCAGACCTCTCCAGATCTACTCACCCAGTCCCCTGACGCTATTTCTGTTAAAAGGGAACTTTTCAGCAAAAGCCCAGCAGGGGCCCCTTACTCTGAGTATCGGTCATAGAAAGGAGATCTCAGCAGGTAGTACAGCAGCAGGATGGTTCGTCGCCTCAGCTCCGCTCGCTCTCGCTTGTTCAGGTCTTTGAGATCACTCAGCAAGCTCAGACTGGAAGGAAAAGGGCAGAGAGCTAGCTCACGGCAACAGCAGACAGCAGGGAGAAGAAAGTGGGTTTCTAAGTGCCCTCTATTCTCAGCTCCATGCAGAGCAGCCTGCACCAGCTCAGAACAGAGAGCACTCTAAGTGTTGCAGAAGATACCTAAATGAGTCAATCTCACAGCTAAACACCAGCCCCTCTGCATCTTTCTCTAAGTAGGGTCTGCTCGGAATTGGGGAACAGGGGGAAGTGTGTCCAGCCACCACCAACCTCAAGCACCCGCAAAGACTCTTCCTCAGACTGACCTCGAGATGTCCAGGACTGCTGACAGGAGCCAGGGTTTCCACGATCTCTGGCCCCACACTCCTAAACTCAGTACTAGGAACACACAGTCAAGGAATGGAAAGAACCAGAGATGCCTAACAAGAGGCACACAGACAAGCGATCCCCTGGGTACCAGCAAAGCTGTGCCAAGTGCAGGAGAACACATTCTAAAGCAGTGCTGGGGCGGCCGAGGGAAGGGGCTGGAGAACTTGCGCCCACAACTCCAGCGGCTGAGGCTCCCTGTCAAGGTGTAACAGAAGGGAGGAGTCCCCAGGTCCCTGCCCAAGCAGAGCACTGGCAGGGAGAAGCCTGGCACAGCACTGCCCTGCACCAGGGCTGTGCCTGCAGCACCCTCTGCCGGCGCCCGGGGTTAGGCACGCAGGCAGGGCAGGATACAGTGGAGCAGAGGGCGGGTAATGTAGATGGACTCTGCGATGGTTTCTTGAAGACCCAGTGGGGTGGGAGGCTGGTTCATCTCCTCAGCTCTTCGGCTCTGTGACTCCTCCCTCTGCTGGGGGGACCCCCAGTGCCGGGACTGCAGGGATGGGGCTGAAACAAGCAGATCAGGTCACTAAGACAAGTAAAACCTTCCTACCGTACTTCCCTGCACCACCAACCTGCTGCATTCTGTGCCATGAAGGTGTGAAATGGGAAAGCTTAAAGATCTGTGCACACAGCAGCTGCTGCTGCTGACCAGCATCAGAGTTTGCCTCCAGAGGGGACAGAGACAAGATGCTCCTTTTGCTCCTCAAAGTATAACCACACTGAAGGGTTGTCTTTGTCACACAGCTCACTTGGGAAAATACAACTGCTAGCCTTGCAGCATGTGCCCGAATCCCTGTCGCTTTGATATCTCCCCACCCACAGGGTCCAGTGACTGGCAGGATATGCCCCAATACAAGGTTCTGTTCTTTACTGTCCGCACTCAGGTCATACATAAAGGGCACAAGCAGAAACAGCTCAGGCAAGGACAGAAAACAGGCTCAGCTACTTACTGTTCTGGAGAGAGCGCACAACACGGCTGGAACGCTTGCCAACATAGGTCTGATCCTTCCCTGAGGAGTTGTGTTCCATGTCTGCAGGAGACAATAGCCACAGGAGTCAGGCTCCAAAAGAACACACCTCACCCCAGAGCTGGCAGT